TGGGGTTTAACGGGTTTAAGGAGGTTGAATCCGGGCTAGGTCTACAACCTTGGGATGGTGCGGCTCCACGGTCTAGGAAAATTGAGACGCTTCCGAACATTTCCTTCCAAAATTCCCGAAGAAGTAAATCTACCTCAAGACACTATGGTTAAGGTAGTCGAGGGTTACCAAACCTATCCTTGGCTCAGATTTGCCTGAATCGTAACCCAGAGAAGCTCAGAAATGGTTCTAAATCCAGTTCAGGACAGCAATCACAGAACCTAAACACCTTAGCTCCCTCAACAGTGACAAGTGAACACTTCTTCGTCTTTTCCAGAGGGTTGGACCTAGCCCAGGAATATTGTGGTGAACCCGGGATTCTCGTTAGACCCAATCCGCCGCTAGCTGAATTGGTGCTGGACCTCATCCTGTTCTTTCGAGGTCTGAACCTCAAAAAAAAGCACTGGAGGCAGTTCAAACTATCCTGGGGTTCACTAAGGGTGCGGGCCCTTTGACGATAATTAACTTACCGACACTTAAGCAACCCTTAATTGGTAGATTGGAACCCCCACAGTGCTGGCCGCAGCACTCCTTCAGTGAGGGTTTCTCGTAGTTTCGAAACATGCGAGGGTTTTAGGCTGGTTTCGAAACACTGCACGACTCAAACGCATAGCTCAGCTCATGAATCTTAGTCGAGAATATTTCTGAAAGTTTTGTGAGGTTTGCCCGAGATGGAACTCAAAGATAGTTTTCGGCCAGTGAAGAAGTGACGCTCGCCCAGAAATATTTGACAGTCCAGTCTAAGACTGAAAACTCAAACTGAAGCTCATAAAGGCAGTTCTGAACAGGCTGCATGACCCGAGGGCCTAAAAAATTGATCGATTGTTTGTAACAGCTACGTATATAAAGGCAAAGGATCATTAAAAGAAAGAACTAGCCAGCACAGGAACAACTGACAGGTGTCCCCAGGGTGCTTGACTAAGTTTTTTAAAACCTGGCCTGGTGGCTAGGTCTAGGTAACCCTGAGCTGAACACATTTGGCTGTGGCGAAGCGGATCCGGCTATATTTAGCTCCAATTTAACATTGTTCACCCAAAGTCCCCGAAAAACTTCAAGGTACCGTAGGAATCTACCCATCAATATGAAGGAAAGTTTCTGCGGTGCCTGGAGGGAAACCAAATGGTACCTAACGAAGCCTGCCCAGACGCCTTCTAGCATGTAAGTTTCTGTCACCAGCATGGCTGACTCATACAGCCTTTGCAGCTTTACAAGAGTTTACAGGTTGGTTAGCAGGTACTAGCATCACGAACTAACAGTTGTGTAAAATGACCCCCTAAGCCAAACCGCGCCAAAATTCCCCCATCAAAGAAGACTTCTCTCGAAAAGCTAGATACGACCCGTCCTCATCATTCTGTGAATTGCTCAATTGGCGTGTCAGTTACAAACTACGATGCCTCCTAAAACCCATGTGATTGTATGTAATTTATAAACTACAGGTCTATACTTGACCCCTGGTGGCAAGCGAATCTGTAAGGGAAACTATTTGGAGCCGAGGTATACTGTAAAAGGCAAAATAATCTTCAAGAAAATCTAAACACCAAAGAAAACAGGAAAATTTCCGTCATAGCTAGTGAATGCTATTAATAATACAGAAACTCAAAACCTACCGTAATCCTTGAAATTGTTCGTATAATACATGGCATCGGTGGGAGTAGTGTAAAATGGTGCCGGCTTGATTGGAGAGGCAAAACCCTGAATAAGTGCCTAAGATCAAATACATTCATTACGATAATCGCATTCCACGCGGGACCCACACCACGTACATTATCGTCGTTGTTCACGTTGATGTCTTGTGTGTCGGACATAATCATCTCCGACACCGGCACATTTTGATCGGTTTCAAGCGCCATCGAATGATGATACATAGATGGAGCGGCCAACGAATCTGCATAGTCCTTGAAGACCGTGGTCATCTGGAATTCAGGGTTAGATTTAGCCCGTAGGAATGTTCATTGACGCTGGACCACGAGACATCCGATGAATAGTCGAGATGCCAGAACAAGCAGAAAATGTCAAACATGAACGCATTCGAGGAAGCGCGTTGACGACGGTGACGATGTGGAGGAGGCGATCGACGGTGGGAAAACATTACAACCCTGGGCATGACATCGGCCGAGGGATACCCGAGCAAGAATCGAGCAGCAGCGAAGAAAACCAAGCAGAATCGGAGGTGAATAATGACACAGCTCATTACATATAACGCCCTACAAGCTCAAACTCCCTCAAGAAGCTGGCACAGGCTTCAGTAACAATGGTAATCTCTTAATCAATTCAATAAATCAGCCCTGAAATCAGCTGACGCCTCAAAACTGATAGCTAGAGCTCGTAGATCAGAATGTGAAGATAAGACACGCGAAAGCAATAATCAGCATGAAATCAGTTGTCGATGACGACGATTTGATAACGTATTGATCGCCTATCACCTGTTCGTTGATAACTATCAGAGATGCGTTAACGAGATAGACAGCTACACGCAATACATAAGTGACTTAGGGCGCGGCCATGTGTCCATCGTCCCGCGGTGGGCGGTACCTCGTGAGGGTGGAGTCGACCAATTGTCGCTGGCGGGAAAAACATCGATAGGCGTGGCCAGCTGGAAACCACCAATACGGGCCATGACACTGCCCGTGGCGACGATTATCAGAGATAACAGCGCGACGACAACCGTTTGTCATGAGAAGGTTTGAGCGGAGCAGATGAAAATATGGCTACACGATGAATGACCCTGGAGGCTCTGGAGGCTTGGCCTAGCTGGCTGTTCTCAAGGGGATGATAGCCGAGGAGTTTTTCACGATAAATCTGCCATCTTTTCATTGGGATACGCTAAAAAATCGAACTAATCACTTGAAAAAGTATGTTTACGGAAGTAAAACCCTAAAAATGGCTTGGAATATTCCGCAGGGATCGAGAGCTGTCCGTTCCAACACAAAGCATCCCCTTCGGATTCGAGCGCAACCAAACAAATTGTGCTGCAATTATACCGTAGCCGGGACTCAATTAATGAATCCGAGCGAGTGTCGTGATGTGATAAGCGGCTTCAGCTAAATGCCGTCGGGTCCCATAGGGAATACCGTATATCGGGGCCGTAGTCGTGAATGAGACGAGTTCTCGATTATTCGAGTTAATAGGAAAATATTGACATTAGGCGAGTATAATGGAAGTGCAGATAAGAGCTAGAGAAGAGAAGACGTGTCCGTGAAGCTACCCCTTCCAGGCTTCTCTTCGCCCATAGAGAGCAGAATTTGGTCTAGAATGCAGGCGTGGGAGTACAACGTGATGATGAAGATGATGAGGTGTACGAAGACGGCGGAAGTGTGGGCGCCGAGAAACACCATCAGATTAGATGAAGCACCGATATTCATAGTATCTGGACGTGTATCGCTGTTATCGCATTAGATGGTCTGCCACAGTTTGGTTGTTATCTAACCGCAACGCACGCTTCCTATTCTGTGGAACTTCTACCCATATGGGAGCTCTGGTAGCAACTGAAAAGCTGGTTAGGGAGATTCCGGCGTCAGCCAAACATGGGGCACAAGAGCAGTGGCGCTACCACAACAGAATGGACTCCCAGCACCTTAATTCTTCTAGGCTGCTCATGGCTTCCTGGCTCACCTGAAACGGTCAGGAGTCTACCATATGATCGTGTGGGATGAAAAGAAGGATCCCGCTCAGGGGACAATCTCCGTCCCTCTCAATAGCGGGGCCCACTTTTGTAACGCGATGAGATTTTTCCAGCTGCGTGGAGACGCTTCTAGCACTTTTACTCAAGTGATGGTTCCACGATACGGACCCATATGGGCCAAAACCAATGCGGAGTAGATGTGAACCAGTTCTCACGGCTGTGAGGGTTACTTTCGAAGCAGAACGAGAATCTCAAGCAAAGATTCGTCTCCCAGGTAAACGCCCGATCGGGGTGGTTGCATTTTCCAAGACCCCATACATGCGCGGTCGAGGCAACGCTCACGGACGCCACAACGTCGCTCTTCGGGCACTTCGTGGCGAAGGCAGGGCTTACGGACGTGCCAGTGTAGGAACGGAATGAAAAGAATGAAGAGGCACTCTCGACCTCCGTGGACAAGGTGAAAAGAGTAGGGAACCTTTTCGCTACCCAGCTGCTGAGGGACTGTTTGGGAGGTACACAGCGGCCGTCTCTAGAACTCCGATGGAATAAGCCCTGTCTTCCAAAACGCTTGACTCTTCCGACTCTTTCCCACCCCTGCCCCAACCCCAGGTAGGTTTTACACCTTGGCAACAGTAAGTAATAAGTATAAGTAGAGACCGTCTAGCACTCCTCGCGGTTTCATGGTAGGGACACATACAGGAGGAAAAGACGACCATGTACGAGCTAGTACGAGCTAGGACGGTCCAGAACGTGCAGGACAGCTCTCTCTCTATGTAGACTGAGAGCGGCTGCTCGTGCAAGGACCCACGGTTGGTTTGTCGAGTGCCTATCAATGGGAAAGCCGAGAAACTATGGACCCCTTGTGAAATTTTTAGGTTTCCAGCTCACGAGCAGGAGGGTCATCTCTGGAACAGAACGAGAAGGGCTATTCAAAAAAGTCTCAAAAAGCAAAACTCTCGGATTATCTTTGGAAAAAATTCAATATGAGCAGCAGCATTTTGAAAATTCCCACGGCCAATGCCTAATTCCTGAACAGTGCCGAGGAGTAGTGGTGGTGCCAACTGTTGGCGCGATAAATCGACGGCACCGTCGGCTCGGTTGACATCGGCAAAGGGCAAGCCGTTGCCTAATCTCCCGCACCATTAGTTGTTACGCCATTCTTCCACCTAAATGATGCCGTCGTTGCGATTTTTCCGTGGCGATGACCAACTGACTTCAGTGACTTCAATGATCATTGCCGGCATTTTCATATGCAATGTGAGGAGGCCATTTCAAAAATTCTAACCCTATTCTCGTCGCAATTTGAAGGACCAGAAACATGGGACCATCATAACTATTCTGACCCTTCTCTCGTCTTCTCCTGAATTCCCTAGAGTAGAACCGTTTAATAGCAACCTAGTCTTCGTATCAGCCATTTCAATCGGTCTTCTCACTCACTGAGTGAGCTGAGCGATAGGTGTCACGTCTTTGCAGTAAAACAGACGATGACTTGCGAATTGCTGAAAAACCTTGGATGAAAGATGAAGTGAGGGAGGGCAGGAAAAAGATAAAGAAGCTAAAGAATTGCTTTCAGAACCAAAAATATTGAGGGAAAGTTTCATAAGAAGTCCATGGTAGCTATCAGAATGTTGAAATTTTGGACTAGATGGAATTGGGCCACAGTAACATTCAGTCTGGGACCACTCGGGTAATGTTCCTCTGAGACAAGCATCTAGGAAATAACATGGAGAATATCTGATGTCCAGTGCTTCTCCGTCCTCTGAATACCGCTGCTTTTGATGAAACCCCTTTTAGCTCGCAACTTTGCTTAACCTACTTCCCTGTGTCCAGATCTCGACTTCCTGCAAGGAAAACTCGTTGACCGATGGGGAAAACTGCACCAG